CCCACCACGGCTTTGCTCTAGGAGCTTGTGACCTCAGGCAAGTTCCCGACCTCACTGGGCCTCGGTTTGCCCATCTTTAAAATGGGGCCAATAAAAATGGGGGGAGAGGGGAGCCCCCTTATCTAAACTTGAGAAAGGCCACAGGACCTTTGATGTTCAATGAGATGGATTTTTAAAGTCAGGAGCAGGGGTACTTATTGGGGGCACAGAGTGGGCAAGTCATCCCCAAAGAGCCAGCCGTCCTTTGCCTTTTAGCCAGAAGTTAAAGGGCTGGGACTGCACACTGGGTGGAACCCCATGGGGGATTACACCCCTCCCCTCCTGAGCCTCAGCTCCGGGCAGCACGGGGAAGAAAGGCTGGTGCCGAGCCTGGGGTCCTGAGTGACTTGTCCCGGGAGCCCCCCCACCTCAGAATCACAGCCCAGCCCGGGAATCCCGGCCCCTGCAGAGTCCCCTCAGGAGAGTGCGGCCCCCATGTGTGGGAGTCACTGCTGTCTCCCCAGCACCAGCTTCAGGGGCCTGCACAGACACTCACGAGTGAAGGAAGAAAGGAAGGAATGCGAGCCACGAAGGCAGATTCGGATCCTCTCCAACCCCCCAGCCCCTGCCCAGGTTCAGGCCACCACCGCCTCCCACCCGGACCACGGTGACAACCTCCAATGGGCCTGTGACCTCCAGCCTCCCCTCGCCACCCACCCTCCCCTTGGCTATCAGAGATTTTCCCCGCAACTCAACTGGGTCCTGACTCTACCCTGCTTTAAAAGGAGAGACAATCCTCCTTGCACATTGTGGGTCCCAGCAGACCCCCAGGACCCTGGCTGCAGGCCCTTCCAGATCTGACCACCTCCCGCCCCGCTTGCTACTCTCTGCCGCTAACCTCGCCACTGTACCCTGGACCACCTGCGTCCCCCCCTCACCTCCCCCCCACCCCCCGCCCCAGTGGGTCCAGGCCTGTCCTGACCTGCTGCCTAAATCTGCTGGGCCTCTCCCCCTCCCATCAAGCCGTGGCACCTGTGTTTCCCCCTCGGAAGGACCTCTACCTTCTTCACCCTCAGCAGACACCCACTCGCTGGAAAACTCAGTGAGAACACGGGTTCCCCTCGGAGCCTCCCCAGCTTCCCCAGGCAGAGTAGGTGCTCTCTTCTGGCTCTTCTGTTCTCAACTCTGCGGGAGACTTCACACGCTGTATTATTGCTCTGTCAGTCTCCATCTCTTTTCTCCCAGCACTCCCAGCGCCGCTGGGTGTCAGCGGGGAGCTGACATTGATGAAATGCCTCCTGTTTGTCAAGCACTGAGTGACATTCTTCATATACCTCATTTACTCCTCACAATTACCTCCAGGATGTGGGTCCTACTAGCCTCATTTTAAAGATTTTGGTAAACTAAGGCTCAGAGAGGTCAAGCAACTTGTCTAAGGTCACACAGCTCATAAGTGGGCCAGAGGCAAGTCTCTCCAACTTGATGTCCCTCCCCCTGCACCACCTCACACGTGGGATATGGCACAGAATCAACCCAGGACTCGTATGCTGAGCAGGTGGATGGATGGGTGGATGAACGAACGGACAAACAGATAGATGGAAACAAAGCAGAAGTCCGCACCACATGACCTGCTTAGACTCAGAGAACCTGTCATCTTCCTGAAGCTGCCGCAACAGGCCTGTGACTTCATCTCATGAGCCTGAGTATAAGAGAAACTAACTTGCCAAAAGGCAGCAGAACCCTAGGCAGGGAGGGGCCCTGAGGCAGGCCTGTTCTGGTGAGAAGCCTTGCTCCCATCCTCCCTCCCTGGGGCCCTGTCTTGGGTCTGCAGGTCTGTTTCTCCACCTCCCCTTGGGCAGCCTATGACCAGGCCTGCTGCTGGCAACCCCTCTCTCTTCCTACCTCCAGCCGGGTCTGGGGGCTCCAAGGCATACACTTGGCTTGGAAGCAAAGCAGCCTCCTAAAGTGCAAAAAATCTAAAATTATCACATGGCAGCCAACATAGTATGGGGCCAAGGGCATTACCAGGAACGGAGTGGGAGCTCCCAGACCTCGCACTGCCCTGAAACCTTCCACGCACTGGAAGCTGAGCTCGGCACCTCCAGCCACACCCTCACTGGCTCCTCACAGCTCCCCTGTACCATCTGCTCCCCATGTCAGGTCAGACTCCCTTCCAGGCTGCTCGAGGGGTCCTGGGACTCCGATCCAGCAGGGGTCACAAAGCTGAAGCTCTGTAGTTTCTCCCAGCTGTGCTCCAGAGAAGCCCCACCTTCCTTCCCAGAAGAGGGAAAAGGAAGGACATGGCTCGGGGCCTGGGTCCCACCTCCCCACACCTGCTCTGCCCAGACTGAGGAGGCCACCTTCTACTGACTCCACCGGTGAAGTAACAGCCTCCCTCCACCATGCCCCTCTGCTGAAGCCAGCGAGGTGGGGCTTCCGGACGCGCCTGGCCCAGCTGCCCAAACACCGGCTCCCATTCCCGAGACCGACCAGCAGCCAGAAGCCCGAGGTCGGGTGACACTCTACAGCATATCCGGGTCCAGTCTGGCCTGTAAGAGGTGGTCTTTCTGGCAGGAGAACACGTGTAATGACATGTGGCTTATGTGAGTAAGGAACGAGCCAGATTAGACGCGAGTCTGCTCAGCACAGTACCTTGCTGACAGAGAGCATCAGGATTTAAACAGAGAGGAGGGTCCTGACCCCACCGACAAAATTAACCACTGAGCTGGCTGCTGGCAGATGCACCTGAGTGCAAGGACATGCAGCATTTTTCAAGGGGGGGGAGGGTCACGTCTCTAACCTGGAGGGAAGAGGGGACCAGCCAGGGCGGGGCCGGGGAGACATGTGCTGCCTCCTCTGCCAGGAAAATCTCTCAAGTCAGAGACAAGTTCGCAGAGAGAGAGATGGGAGCAATTTAGGGCTGCCCAAGGCGGGCAAGGGCCGGGGGACATCTCCCCAGAAGCCCTGGTGAGCCAAGGCCACCTGCCTGCCCCCACCCCAGGCGGTGGTCCGGGGCAGCCTTTCTCAGGGGTGCTGCGCCCTGGGCCCCCTGCATCAGCATGGAACCACTTCCTCCTTGCAAGAAGCTGCTTCTCCCATCTTGCATCTTCCAGGTCTATCCAGGCAGCCCTTGGCCAGGCCTCCAAGTTACCCATTCCTTCGGGACAGCGGTCCCTGGCAGGCCGACTGGCAGGTCAGCTCTGGACAGGGACGTTGTTTGCTCAGGTTCACACCCACCTGGCCCATGTGCCAACATACCAGGCTCTTTGCCACAAGCCTCCAGAGGGTCCAAAGACGCATGGTCAGCTGTGGCAGCCGTGGCATGAGGGAGGGCTTTGGACCTGCATCACTAGAAAATTCTTGATCATGACTGGCTTCAGCCTCCTGGAGCTCAATGCATCGCTGCATGATGCTCTCAGGACCACTTCATAGGCCAGGGGTCTGCTGAGCATGGAGGCTGCAGAAGCGCAGGGCTGGAGGCGAAGAGAAGGTCAGGAGCCTGGCCACCGCAGTGGACAGTGTCCCTCCCAGGACAAGCTCTGGCTTTAGGCAGGGTTGGACATGAAGCTCTCTCTCCTCCCCATGGCCTCTCTCAAAGTCACATCTGTTCTCCCAAAGGCTTGTATCCTAATGATTACCAGCGGGTATGGGGGGGGGCAGGGCGGGGGGCATGAGAACTCCGGGAGAAAAGCCATTTGCACTGGAAATGTGGGGTTGTGTCATCATCCCCGGAGCAGTCGTCAGAGGCAGAAGAAGGCAGCAGGAAGTCGCCCAGCATGCTTGCAAGGACAGAACATCTGTCGATTCCGTAGTAAGATGTGCCCCGGGTCTCACTGCCCCACCACTCCCCTCCAAGCCCAAAGAGGGGAAGGCAAACCACAGAGGTCGGGGGCCGGGGGGGGGGGGCCGGGCCACGCCTGTTCTCCAACAAGAGAAGCCCAGCCGGAAACGGGAATGGATGCAGGATGTGCTCCCAACCCGTGAGACCAGTAAGGACCTCAGACTCTGGCCCAGGCTCGAGCAACAACTTCCATTTCAGCAAAATGAAATTTTCACTGGTGCGTTTTTGAAAGTAATTTGAAAACCTCCAGGGACCCACCAGAGGGGAAAAGACAAGTTTTATTTGGATCTGTGGATCTAGGCCACGGCCCCGTGGCTAAAAGCAGCCAGAGAGCAAACTTGGCACCAGCCCGCAGGTGCAGTGGAGGGCGGACGTCAGGCAGCAGAACCACAGCCACACCCGGTCCTGTCCTGGGCCACTGGGCGGAATACGGAACCTCAGGACACAGAGGGGGGCGGGGAGCCCTGGGCAGTCCTGAAACCAGTCCTGCCCTGCCAGGCAGCTGGAGAAAGCCTTTAAAACTGCAAATCTAATTGTATCTCTATCGGGCCTCGGGCCTTCTGGAGCCTCTCAAAGTAAAGCCCTAGGAGCCAGCAGCCCAATGGCCAAAGCTAATAATGAGATGGGCAAAAAATTAAAAAGTAAAAAAAATAACGTAGTATTATATTATGACCCAAAGTATAAAATAGATACCCACCAGTCCATCTCGATAGAAATAAATGAGGGAATAAGTGGGGGCTGCAGTCCCCCCCAAGGAAGAGGGATTCTGCCGGCAGGCGGCCTTCAGACCAGAGCAGCAGCTTCAGCCCCTCCCCAGGTCTCCAGCCTGCCGGCCGCCCCTGCACACTTCAGACCTGCCAGTCTCCATCGTCACATGAGCCAAGTACTTAACGTAAATTTCTCCGTCTATATGTATATATAGATCCTACTGGTTCTATCTCTCTGGAGAGCCCCGATAATCTGTTTGCTCACGCAGGGCATCCCCACTGCCTTGCAAGGCAAAACTTCAAATCAGCTACGGCCCAAATCACCACTCATGGCATCACAGATCCAAATCGTCACCACCTTGCTGGTGCCATCCCCAGGGCAGCTCATGCCAGGGCCTGGGGGGAGAGGCAGAGACCACCAGGCCCCTCCTCTCCAAGGGCAGCAACCGTGGAGGAAAAGCTTTATACAATACCTGCTTAAGTCCCTGGCCAGACCCTGGTGGGAGAGAGCAGAAGCTTCTACTCCGTCACCAGCTGGGCCACGAGGAAAAGACACATGTTCAGAGGCTCGGGGAGTGACATCTGCACGGGCAGCAGCTGGGGAGGTGCTGGGGACACAAAGGGAGAATTATTCCCAGTGGAACTCGGCTCATTAATGGCACACTCATCAGGCCCCCTCACCCCACCCAATCCACCCCAGACACGTGGAAGGGGCTATTTAAAGACCCAACATGCTGCTTCCCTCCACGCCCCCCCCCTATTCCCTGGGGCCTTTGCTTAGACACAGAGGAGGCCCCCTGCAATGCAGCCCACCGCCCCGCCTCCGGCCAGGCATGAATGCCTCCTGTGTTAGGCTTCAGCAGAAACTGGCGTGTCTTTGATGGGAGGCAGTGTGGGAGCTCGGGACACTCTGTGAATTGTCTTGTTTGATTTTGGGGAGTGGACTTTTGTATGATCATTCCTAGTACTTTTTTTTATTTTTTACGAGCAATGAACTCTGTGAATTGAGAACTATAGTACAGCTTTGCAAACTCCCTGGGATACACCCCCAAAACCCAAGGCTGAGAAAAGCCAAGGCCAAGAGGCTGACGGGTAACCAAGGAGCCGCACCAGGGACAGTTGGGGACCCCTTGGGTGGGGAGGCAGGGGTTGCGCGAAGATCTTCAGGAGAGGTCCCACATTCAGTGGGTGAGTGCCCCCTGCTGGCCATCCAGGGAAATGCCTGGAGTGCAGAGAGGCCCCCCTGGTGGGGGGGGACTTGGGTAGGAAGGAGAGCCAACTGCAAACACACTCTCAAGCAAAGAGCTCAAAACAGGTTTGATTTTCTCCTTTGGCAAAAAGCAAGGCTATCAATGCCGTCCACAGGCTAAAGCTTGGGAACAAGTCCTCAGGGTGAGGTGGCCCTCCCAGCCTCTCTCCGGCTGTCCACACTGCTGCCCACAGGGCAGCTGGCTGCCATGGGCACCCTACACTCAAAACACTGAAAGAATTCATACTCTTGCCCCAAATCCCTGTGGCTGCTTAGCAGGTACTGCAGGGCCCAGCCTCGGCCTCACCCCCGAGTTCCGCCTCCCTGGCCCTCACCTGCTCTGCTCCCGCCAGGCGGGCCTCCCTCAGGGCCCACAACCCGAGCAGCCCCTTCGCCTAGCCAGGCCAGCAACTCCTCAGCCTCTGCGCTTGGGCCTCGCTAATCAGCAGCCATGGAAACAGCAGAAGCTCAGCGCCTGTGTGCATTGTCCTGGGTGCCTCATGTCGGGTGCCTGGTCCAGCATGCCCAGCGCCAAGCACTTCATATGTATGACCTCAAATAACCCTCACAACAACCGTTTGAGGCAAATGTCACCATCCCGGCTTTACAGAAAAGGACACTGAGGCTCAGAGAGCTGAGGTCACTTAGGCAAGGACATGGAGCCAGCATCCCAGCATCCGTGAGCCCTCAATAAACAGGCAGAGGGAGAGCTGGGGTGTCCCCGCCGGCTGTGACCAAGCTGGGGGTCAGGAGCAGAGGCAGAGCTAGAACTCACATTGCCTTCTTCCCTGAAGCCCGCAGAAATGAGGAGAAAAACAGAGACCAGAGAGTAAGGACCACGGGTAAGCCCGGAGCAAGGCCGATCCACAGGTGAACAAGAACGACCGTGCGTGGGCAGAAAGCACGCAGGCGGTTCCAGCTGGAGTGACACCTCGCTGGTTCCCACTGATCTGTAACAACTGGACGGTGGCGGAAAGAATATATTTTATAAAGAAATGACTCAAAAGGAAGAATGCAAACTATTGGGGGCTTTTAAGCTCCTTAGCCATTTTCACGCTTCGAAGGCTTACAGGCTTTCATATTCCTAAGCCGTGAACAGGCCCCTGACCAACTCAAACTACCCATCTAAAACTTAGTTTCCTAAAGAAATTCTGCTGCCCGGGCCCCCTCTGTGCATGCCTCATGAAGGTTTTATTTGATGTAATGCAGGCTGAGGAAAGGTGATATACGGCACGGCTCCGTTTCTTTAAGGGGACTCCACCGAAGTGCAAGGAGAGATTTCTGTCTTTGAAAACCCTGGCAGAGCAGAGGGGAGACGCTGCCCCCCGGATCTGTGGCCTCAGAGCAAAGCCAAACCCACAGGGCGGAGCCCAGGGACAGTCACACTCCACTGACGAGGGTGCCCACAGGGGACAGGTATTTGCCTCCCCCCGAGAACATGGTGCGTGTGTGTGTGGGGGGGAGTCCCTCAGCTCTGCAGCCCCTGTCCCCCCGGAGGTGGCCCCACCACGGGGCCACACCCTTCCTGCACTGGGCTCTCCGGAGCCCAAGGTACCGAACAAGTGACTCAACTGCTCTATTAGGAATGGAGCCCCCACTCCCTCCCCGCCTCCAGCCCGCTGCCGGCCCATGCCCAGGGGCCAGGGAGGTCAGGCCCCCGACAGGGAAGCGCTCCGTGACTCAGACCCGCACCAGAAGGTGGGACGGCCCTTGCCTCTCCGTCCTCGCCCCTTCCTGCTGAGTCACCTCCTCCTCCCTCCGGAACCTCTCTGTCCGGGCCACCTCTCGGAGCAGGCTCCCGCACGCCCTGCTCTGCCTGCCTCCTCCGTCCCCTCACGCCGACCCCCACAGTCACCAGGATAACCCTGCTCAAGTTCTGATAAGGGCCTCGCCTTGCCTGAAACTTTCCACAGTCTTAGGAATCCGGGCAAGAAAACCCCCTGGCCTCCCACACCGGCTCCTGCGCCCCATCACTGTCCTTGTCGCCTCCCAGGCTTGTCCTCTCCCTAAGCCTGCTCTAACCCGACCAAGCCAGTCCCCTGACGCTCCTGGCAGCTTCCTACTTCCGCGCCTGGGCCCAAGCAGACGCGGCCCCTGCATGCCTACCTCTCTCAGGCCCTTCCCAGCCCACCCCACAGTCATCCTGAGGGGTCACCCAATCAAGGAGGCCCACCCCCACGTGGGGGTAACAGTGCCCCCGACCTCTGAGCACCTTGTTTTCCGCTAGGGTGTCCTGCTCCCCTACTGAAGTCTCGGCCACTGTGGCTTCTCTGGCCCCCAGCACAGAGCCCGGCCCATGGAAAGTGCTCAACACATGGCAGTTCCTTCCCTGCCTCCCCTGACCTCCCCCACCTGTAGGCCAACTGTGCCACCTTCTTGGAATCCGAGTCTGAGGCAGGACCAGCAACCAAATTTGCAAGCAAAGAGGAATATAAATGAATGCAAAGTGAAAATGCAGAGCCCCACGTTCCAGAGGGATGGAGAATTTCAGGACAGTGACAGCAGAGCACTGAAATGAGCACAGGGCCCTTCTGAGCGCCGGGCCCTGGGTGACTGGGTGTCATGCCCATGAAGCCACCCCTGCTTCTAGACCCCAAGGAGGAGCTTACCCGGTGTCCCTATACTGCCCCCCCTGAGCCCCCGGAGGGCAGCACTGCTAGAGCAGAGATGAGAAGCAGCTGGGGACAGTTCAGCCCCACTGTGTCAGCTCCTGTGTCCACCCAAGCCTCCCTGACCCACCGGGGCTCGTCCTGAGACATCATTCTCAGGGACCTGGGCCCTGGGCCATGCCCAGGGCCCCTGCCAGCCCTCAGCGGGACTCCTCGACAGACCCCGAACCGGCACAGAGAAGCCAGGGCCCAGGGATGAGGGCCTCACACGTCCATCCTGTCACTTCTGTTCCCTTGCCTTGATCTCTTCTCCTGTAAAATGCGCTGGGGGTAGGGCGTGTGAAGGTCTTCCTAGTAAAACTCTCAGGCCCCTTTTCCGGGTTAAGGAGTTAACCAATGTTTTCCAAGTCTTGGTGGAATAACAAAGAAGTTGAATTCAAATACACAGCGTGTTGATATTTTTGGACAATGACAGAAATATTGATTTAAGTCTTTTGTGTTAAAGAGAAGTGTTAACACCCGGAGGGCACAGAAGCCACCATACTTCCAGCAGGCAGACGTTAACTTATGATCATGGCATTCTTTCCTGCTAGGTCTAGCTGGGCGGGTCCTTAGAATCCTTTGGGACACAGATCCCTAGGGAGCCATTACTAATGGTCAGAGCTTGCCATCCCTGACTCGGTACCTCGCTCGCCGAGGTCCTTGCAAACAACGAGTCCCCTTTGGTTGCAGTTTCCACCCACACGGAACCTGAGAGCCACGGACAATGTCGATGCCGGGCCTGCGTTCAGCCTGACAGCCCCGCGAGTCCGGCCCCGGTGAGATGCTGTCACTCACTGTTGTCTGTGGATTCCCTGTTCAGGGCATTTGAGTCCTTTCTGGCAGATCCCCCACGGACCTGACAGTGAACTGCATTTCAGAGATGGGCCGGAGTTGCCAAATTAAGCCCTTGTCCTGGGACAGACAAGAGAGTGACCTGGCTGTCACAGAGGGTGATAACACCCCAAAGATCCAGACCGAAACACACCACGTCCTGTGGGGCCAGATGGGCGACAGCATCTTATCTCCCATTTCGTATCACCATCTGGAAGGTATTAGCACAACCATCCTTCCTCACAGGCTCTTGATTTTTCCTTCTCAAATCCCCAAGTGCACACGATCACGTCATCGGGTGACTGCTAAGGCCAAGGACCAAGCTCAGATGGAAAGTCAGAGGCAAGCTAGAGGGAAGAAACCACTTGGACGCTTTCGTTCCGGAGAGCTAAGCTCAGTGGGTGGGGGCACTGGACAGCAGAGGGACGTGCTTTGATACGGCGCATCTGGGCGATGGGAGACACAGCACGCCCCTCTGACACTCAGCCTCTGCAGAGTGGCAAAGCCCGAATCCAAGGTGCCCAGACAGGCTTGCAAATTGGCTGGAAACTCCACGGCAGGCCCGTTGAGCTATTTCTAGTCTCCCTCGAGATAAACCAGCATGTGAAACCCAGCCCATGCTAGAGTGCGGACAGCCCCTAAACATCGCTGACCTTCATACGTCCCGCTGAGGGCTGGCTGTGCACAGTTAACCCTGAACGGGCGAATCAGTTCCTTTCCAGTACATTCTTACCCTCTCTCCCTCCACAGAGCAAACCTAGGCTCACAGAAGGGAAACTACTTTTAAGCTTGACCCAAGCAAAACAGTCTTCATGTGTTCATTTGAAATATGAAATTGTCAATATTTGAACGTGGCCAATGGGGGCCATTTGTATGC